CAGCTCCAGCTGGGATTGCAGCAGCAGCAGCAGCAGCAACCCTGCAGATTGTTGCCAGCTAGCAGTAGCTCGCGCTGCTTTGAATGGTGCATCAAGTGTAACTTGCTGCTGCTGCTGCTGCTGCTGCTGCTGCTGGGTAAAATCCTATGCGGCATATTTCCGCCTATGGGGAGACACCTGAATGCAGCAGCAGCAAACTATGCACCTAACACCAGCTGGCTTAGCAGCAGCAGCGAGTAAAATATGTGCTGCAGCCGCAGTAAACGCAGCAGCAGCAAGTGCTGCAGCAGCAGCAGCAGCACTGAATACCGCAGGTAGATCAGCATTAGCCCGAGTTGTTGCAACCAAGCACTTCTCGTGTCTCTGTCTTTGCAGCAAACTCCCTCCCCAGCTAGCTAGCCGGGCTAGCTATGCAGAGCTAGCTGGGCTTCTGCGCAACGCACAACTAGCTAGCCAGCTAGCTAGCCAATTAGCTAGATAGCGAGTTATCCAGCTAGCTAGCTAGCCTGGCAGCTAGCCAGCCGTTAGCTAGCTAGCTAGCTAGCTAGCTAGCTAGCTGGCTTTTTAGCTAGCTAAATGGCGGGCAGCGCCCTGGCACGCCACAGACAAGAGCTAGCCGGCTAGGTTACAGGCTAGCTAGCTAGTTGGTTGCCAGCAGGGTACCTGGTTAGATGGAAAACTAGCTAGCTAGCTAGCTAGCTAGCCAGGTATTTAGCTAACTAGCTTGCTAACCAGTTAGATAGCCAGCTAGATGGCTAGCTAGAAAGTTAGCTAGCTAGCGTTTGTTCAGGTTGTGCTTGCCGGCGCCTAGGAAGGCCAGGGCGGACGGACTGTCTTCTTGCTGCAGCAGCTTCGCTCGCAGCACCTCACTCCTCACCACCAGCCGACTGTCTCCTATTAAGTCTTCTGCTGTTTCGTCTGCTTCTGCTGCTGCTGCTGCTTCTGCTGCTGCTGCTGCTGGTGACAGGTTCACGGCCGCTGCGTGCTGCTGCTGCGTGTCTGCTGCTGAGGCAGCTCGGCTCCGCCTGCCGCGTAACTGCCGGCCTATTTGGGGTTTTGGCTTGGCAGCAGCAACGGCATCCATCTGCTGCTGCTGTTGCTGCTGCTGCACCTCAGGATATGCCTGGTCCCACTGCAGCTGCTGCAGCGTCTGGTTGTCTTCAGCCAGCAGCTTTGCTACCGAGGTTCTGCTGCTTCTGCTGCTGTTCTTGCTTCTGCTGCTGCTGCTTTGGGGTATCTCTGGAGCTTGCAGGCGGTGCTGCTCTTGCAGCTGCTGCAGCCGTGCGTCTGTGCGCGCCGCTAACTCCTCCAGCGAGTCCCTAAACTGTCTCTGCTGCTGCTGCTGCTGCTGCTGCTCCTGCTCTTCGTCTGTTGCTGGCAGCAGCTGCTGCTGCCGCATCTTCTGTATGGCCTGTGCGGGGGAGAGAGAAGACATATCATTCACAGGTTCAAGGACAGGCTCTACCGGCTGCTGCTGCGGCTGTTGCTGCTGCTCCTCCTCCTCCTGCTGGGCCGCTAGCTGCCCTAGGCGCAGATTAACTGCATGCAGCAGCGCGTGATAGACTCGCAAGTCTTTTGGCTGGTTAGAAGCAGCACTTACAGCACTGCTGCTGCTACTGTTGCTGCTGCTGCTGCTTTGCTGCTGCAACAAACCGCAAGCAGCAAGCTGCTGCAGCGCCGCTTTGGTGGCGAGACACTCCGTCTGCTGCTGCTGGGGTATGGTGCTACGCATGCGCCGCAACACACGTCGCAGCAGCTCCTGCCTCTCAAGGCTAACCTCCTGCTGCTGCTGCTGCTGCTGCTGTTGCTGCTGCTGCTGCTCGGCTTCAGCAGCAAGGGCCTTTCCAATGAGGGCAACCTGCAACGGCTGCGCGCTGCCGACAGCAGCAGAAGCAGAAGCAAACAATTTGTGTCTGAGCAGCAGGAGCTGCTGCTGGTGAGCGGGGTGTGCGGTTGCTGTTGCTGTTGCTGCTGCAGGGAGTTGCTGCTGCAAAAGCACGACAGGCAGCAGCAACGCCAAGCGAACCTCCTTAGTGAAGCTGTCCATACACCGCAGCAGCTGCTGCACAACAGCAGCAGATATTTCAGCGATGCGCTGCGACATCCCCTCCCCTGTTGGTGCAGCAGCAGCAGCTGGCGTTGCAGCAGCAGCAGCTGTTGCGGTACTTGCTGCTGAGGCGGCCACTTTAGCTGTAGAACCACCCCACTCATAAGCGCCCTCTGCTGCTGCTGCTGCTGCTGCTGCTGCTTCTGCTGCTGCGGTTGCTTGTCTCGATCCTCCTGCTGCTGCTGCAGCGTTTGTCTGCGTTGCATCCATTTCTTCTGCTTGCCTACGCGCAACGTCCTCATCTGCCGCAGCGGCATCAGTAGCAGCAGCAATATCAGCAGCTGCAGCAGCAACTGCTGCAGCCGCTTGTTCTGTTGCTGGCTCCTGCTGCTGCTGTGTGGGGGCTACGATGAACCGATGCTGCAGTGTACAGACAGCTCGCGTTATAACCCTTAGCAGCTGTGGGCTCAAGTATGCCAGAGACTCGCTGCTTTTGCTGCTGCTGCTGCTGCTGCTGCTGAAGGCTTTCTGCTGCTGCTGCTGCACTTGCTGCAACAGTTGCTGCAGCTGCACTGCAACCGCAGCAGCAAACGCATTGCTGCAGTGAGGGGCCCTATAGAGCAGCTGCAGTGCCTTAGCGAGAACCAGCACGCGATCTCTGCTCAGGTCCTCGTGCTGCTGCTCCTGCTCCTGCTGCTGCTGCTGCTGCTGCCACATCTGCAGCGTTTGCTGCTCGCATTGATGCAGCAGCGAAGATGGGCAGCACGCGCCGCTGCGGACGCATGTCGATAGCAACAAACGCAAGCTGATGCTGCTGCTGCTGCTGCTGCTGGGGGGCTCATGTTCATCATCCTCTCCAGTATAGTCCTCGTTGTTGCTGCTGCTGTTGCTGCTGCTGTCTTGAGCAGCATCAGCAGCAGCAGCATGTGCAGCAAGCTGCAGCGCCTGGGGATGTCTGACCTCCCCCACCGCCAGTGCATGCGCTACTAGCAGCTGCTGCTGCTGCGTCAGCGAATGCTTCTTCTGCAGCAGCAGCGCGCGGTCTGCCAGAGCCACCATGACCCGATGAAACAAACTGCTGCTGCGGCTGCTGCTGCTGCTGCTGCTGCTGCTGCTGAGGGTAGCAGCAGCAGCAAAGGATTGCATCAACGAGGTTACAGCGCGGCCATCTGCGGTGGGCAGCAGCTCTAGGGCGTGATACTGCAGGTCCTGCAGCAGCAGCGGGAGACAACGACGGATAGCAGCAGCAGCAGGAAGTGCAGCAGCAGCAGGTGGCTTGGATATTGCTGCTGCATCACCTGCAGCGGCAAAAACTACCGGTGCTGCTGCTGCTGCAGGAAGCAAAGACCGCAGCAGCAGCACATAGCTGCTGCTGCAGCAGCACAACTGCTGCGGCTCGAAATAACGAAGTTTGTGGGGGATTTCATCTGCTAGCTGCTGCAGGAGCAGCAGAGCAGCAGCAGGATAGGCAGCAGCAGCAGCTAGCAAATCGTTATCTAGCTCTCCAGGCCGCCCGTGAAGACCTTGCTGCAGCAGCCGCTGCTCCTCTAGGCGTTTGTGCTGCTGCTGCTGCAGCTGCTGCTGCACCTCATCTTCGTCTGTAACCGGCTGCAGCTGCTTGTTCTGGGTGTCGCACTGCCGTCCTGCTGTCCCTTCCTGCTGCTGCTGCTGCTGCTGCTGCTGCAACAGCTTTCGCTGCCTGTCAAGCAGCTGCAGCAGCTGCTGCTCCCGGTGTACGTACCCCGCGAAGATGCGAGTCTGAGCATGCAGCAGCAACGACAGGTCCTGGGGGTTACAGCGCGGCAGCAAACTCAAAGCAGCAGCAGCAGCACGAGACGCCAATGCCAGCAGAACCACAAAGGAGACACCTGTGCTGCTGCTGCTGCTGCTGCTGCTGCTGCCGCTGCTCGTGCTGTTGCTGCTGCTTGTGTTGCTGCTGCTGCTCGGCAGTAGAGCTGAGTGAGCAAGAGCATGCAGCAGCAGCGACATCTGCTTCGGGGTGCTGCGGGTAGCCAGCAGCAAACCGCGGCGGGCGTACCTGCAGCGGAGACAAGAGGGAGACAAAAGGAGACAAAGTGAAACAAATACACAATAGAGAGACAAAAGGAGACAAAAGGAGACAAAAGGAGACAGACAAAAGGAGTAAGACAAAAGAGACAGCGAGAAAGGAGACAGAGAAATCAGACAAACAAAGGGGACAGAGAAGGAGACAGAGAAAGGAGACAGAAAAGGAGACAGAAAAGGAGACACTGCTCGCTCTCTCTCTTTCTGTTCTTACCTCTCCATCAATGCTTCATCGTCAGTTAGTTTGTAGCGCCTGCAGGTGCAGGCGATTGCTGCTAGCAGCCTTGCGTCTGCTGTCTCTGGGGTGTACATACACCCCGATTGAATAAGGTCTACTCCTGCTGCTGCTGCTGCATTTACTGCTGTTGTTGATGCTGATATGTGCAGCGGGTTTCTTACAGGCCACTCCATTGTTACGTGCTTATGCCGCCGCGTCTGCAGCTTCTTGCTGCTGCTACTCTTCTTGCTGCTGCTCTTCCTGCTGCTGCCGCTGCTGCCGCTGCTGCGGCTGCTGCGGCTGTTCTTGCTGCTGCTGCGCTTCGCCTGGCTGCTGAAAAAAGCTGCATGCAGCAGCATATGCTGCTTGCCCACTTCCTGCTGCTGCTGCTGCTGCTGCAAGTAGAAGAGACCTATGGACGTTGGAGGCTTAAAGACTGGCGAGCAGCAGCAGCAGCAGCTGCTGCTGCTGCTCTGCCCCGCAACGGTACTGAAGCGACAGCTACTTCTGGGTGACCCATATGTGTCAAGCAGCTCCAGCCGCTGCTGCTGCTGCTGCTGCTGCGGTATCTGTCGCTGCTGCAGCAAGGTCATGCGCCTCCGTAGCAGCTGCAGCTGCTGGAGCGGCAGAGACCTGCCCGCTGAACTCATCGTGATGCCTATGAGCAGCAGC